GGGAAATCAACAGTCCTGGCTTTCCCTCTAACGTATCCTTTTTCACTTGTAAAGAATACTTCAACTCACGCAGGAGCTTGAACCTAAAACAGCAAATAAAATGCAACTGCCCTGCCAGCTCCTTCCATGGACATCAAAAGAAGATTCCAAAAGTTGTATCAAGTTTAGGTTTCTTCATGATTATTACACTGAAAAATTACCACTTACTGGAGGCCCTGGAGGTCCAGGCTGTCCTGGGAATCCCGGAAGACCTGATGGTCCCTAAAAGAAGAAATAAATAACAATTCCCATATGCACTCTGTGTAGACTCTTCCTTGGGAAGAGGCATTTGCTGAAAGACCCAATCCCATTCCCACTCAAATCAACAAATGTTTTGCCGGTCAAGCCAATGGGAGTGGGGCAGACCCCATATACTCTATGGCTACATCTATATTGCAGGCTTATTGAGCAAGAACAGCTGTTCTTGTGCAAGAACTTGCCGGGTGTCTACACTGCATGCATGTTCTTGCACAAGTAAATTTACAGTACAGCGTTGGAAAACAGGGCTTCTTCCAAAAGAGTTATTCCTCTCCCCATGAGGAATAAGCCCTCTTGTGCAAGTGCTCTTCCTCAAGAAGGCAGTGTAGACAGGCAACATGATTTTCTTGTGCAAGAAACCCCTGTGGCGAAAATGGCCATCAGAGCTTTCTTGCACAAGAGACCGTCCACACTGCCATTGACGCTCTTGCGCAAAAGCACATCTCTTGCACAAAAACACATGGCAGCGTGGACTCGCTCTTGTGGAAGACCTTTTGCACGAGAACTCTTGCGCAAAACAGTTCTTGCGCAAGAAGCCTGCAGTGTAGACGTAGCCCATATGAGATGAAAGAAGATGAGAAACTTTTTCTCTGGACAGTTTCACCATATTAATAACTCAAATGAAAACCTGTCACGTGCAATCATATTTTTTTTATGTGACATAAGGGGGAGTATCTAGAAAAAACAGTGAGCACCAGCATCTCTTTCCGCCTATGCTTTTGTGCCTGTAAAAGGAATTGGAAGTACAAGCCAGAGTATTTGCACCTGCATCCCTGCAGTTACAGGCACAAAACCTCAGGATTTGCACTTCAAAACATGAATGCAAGTTTTGCAGGTGATTGCAAAAGGACGTATATTAAGTTGCTTCCTGCCAGTGACACACAAGCTCCAGGGGTGACGTATCCCCTTGCCAAAAAGCACACACACAATGGGGTCCCCTGCTACCGTGCGGACAGGTGGCATGAGAAACAGGCTCCGCTGGCAGTTACCGCTTACATGCACTGTAGACGTCAGCCACTAGAGGGCAGGACGAACGAACACACTTGGCAGCTCTGGCATGGTAGTTAACACCTGCCCACTGCATTAGCTAGTACTGGGAATGGCACCTCCTGCTGGTCTATTCCCAGCGCAAGTGAGGTGTCACACGCTCATTAACCTTCCCCAGAGCAACAGAAATAGAACTTGTTTTTCCCTGGCTGCAGGATGGTTCAACAAATGGGAATTAAACTCACAGTTGGCCCCTGGAGTCCATTTCCACCGGGGAGTCCACTAGGTCCCGGAGGCCCCTGTAAAACAGAGTCAGAACATTACACAGGCTTCTTGAGCTCTCATAGTACAACAGCAAATGCTTTACATTGCTCATCCTTGTGCTCAAGTATTGGCCCAATCTCACATCTAGTTGGCCAGATGCTCCCGGTACAAATACAGATGCTCCTTGGAGACCTGTGCTCAAGAGGAATCCCCTTCTAGGGGAAAGCAGGGATGTTCCCCCACAGTGCTCTCCTCGGCCAGGAGGCGAAAGCAGCTTTGAGTTTTGCCCAGGAGACCCAAAAAGCCATGGCAGAAATTGGTAAAACCCACCCGTGAGAAAGCTGCTGGGCCCAGTTGCTGCTCTAATTTACATCAGCAGCCAAACCAGGCTCCAGCTGTGTAAAGGTGGCATCAGGTCACCCTTCACCAGGGCTCCACACCCACTAGCTCTAGCGCAGCTCAGAGCACTCAAGGGCCTGGGTCTGTGGGTGGGTTTGGGGAAAATACCAAAGAGGAACAAAACCAATGTAATAATGTAACCCTGCCCTCCGCCCTTTTTGGGGCCTGCTCTACTCTTAACACTGAAGTCAACTTAGCTACCGCTCTGTAGTGTGACTTTTTCACACCCCTGGGCAACGCCGCTAGGGTAGACCCAACTTTCTAATACAAACCAACCCTGGGAAAGATGCTATTACTTACCGGAGGGCCTGGCAGCCCCTTGCCCTGCAAGAAAAATTTAAAACAAAGATCATTTGGGAACTGAACAAAAAACATGGATCATTGTATCAAAAAGATCCATTTCCCATTCCCCCCTCTAATGTTCCCCAAATCCCTATGATTCTAATTTACAGTCAGAAAGTGGAGCCAAAGAGAGTTACTAAAACCTAGAGTTATCGTCTGTATTTTGTGTTCACTTTTCATTTTTGTTGCCCGTGGGCTAGTCTCTGCTCTCAGATGCACCTAGTGACCTATCAACATCTCATGGGCACATGCGAGGGTAGACATCTACCTTTCCTCCTCTCTTGTAAAACGCTTGTAGTTTTCTCTGCAAATCTTTAGCTATGGAGAAGCCATGTCCCCAGGCACTGTTTAAAAGCTACATGAAAAGAAAGCCCCCTTTCTGGGGGTCTGAACGGAAATTTACCCTCTCCAACAAAATCAGGGCAGTGACCGAGTTAAATGGCATCTCCAATGAGCAGCAGCTGCTGGCCAGTAAAACATGGCATTTAAGGGCGATCAAGAGATGGGTTCCAAAGCCAAAAGGGGCCGCTGTGATCGCCAAGTCTAACCTGCACTAGAAAATCAGCAGGCCACGTCACACGTGGGTGACGTAGGCTCTTTCATCTCGCCTGTTCTGACAGCCCATTGAAACTGACAAAGCCGCCGGAATGCTCGACTCTTTGTGCATCTCAATATTCTGCCTCCTGCGCATAGGAAGGGAGGAACCGCAGGAGCAGAGATGTTCGTAACAGGCTACAGCATCAGCGCATGAGTTAGTCGTGCCTGTTAGCCCCTTGGGCTGAGAAGCTGGATTCTTAATACCACAATAATCACCACCTTGGAAAAGGCTATTTGATTTTTCAGCATTAAGGAAGCAAGGTTTTTTAAATGCAGCATTTCAGTAGGGGAGCTGGACCTTAAACACATGTCCATAATTTATTCTCTATGTAAGCTTTTTTTGGGGGGGGGGAGAGGTTGCTTTGTTACTAAGGCCGTGTCTCCCCTTGCTGGAGGTTTGATGCTCTGGCGATCGATCCTTCGGGGTTCGATTTAGCAGACCTAGTTAAGACTCACTACATCAACGGGCCACAGGTGTGAAACTGACTTGAAGGCTGTGGATTTGATGGCTCTAGGACTATGGAAATCAGGTACTAAACCAACATGGGTGACATTTTCCATTGACCTCCATACTTTTGAGGTACATTGATTTGCCTGCACATAAACATATGTTTTTCTTTCTGGAAGAGTTCTATAGACTTCGGATTAGTAAAGAATGCTAAGGGCACCCCTGTTGGTGCCAGAACTCCCTGCTGTTGCAAGGAGTAAGAGAGTCAACCTCCCACTATGGGGCTGCACCAGAAAAATCGGTGCAAGGTACATCGACTCGAGCTACACAATTCACAAAGCTGGAATTGCGTATCGTGCGTCACTTTACTCCTCCAATGCAGACCCGGCTTGAGATATCCATCCTGATCAACGTGGGTTTAGCTCTACATTTTTCCTTAATACCAGCATCCAAATAGCTATGGTGAAATGCGACTCTCCAGTAAACAGAGAGATCTTCCAGCCCAGTTCGCTGTGTGGATTTCAGAATTATTATAATGTATCTGAGGATTCTTAACCAGCTGCAAGGCTCAACAGGCTGAACATTCTGACATGTCCACCTTTTATAGGAACCATGCTGCTTGGTTTATACATGTATCAGGGCCTGCGCCAAAGCCCACTGGGCCAAAGCCCTCTTCAATGAGCTTTGGATTCGGCTGTGGACAACTTGAACTGGTTTTATGGATTTTCAATATAGACGTTTTCTACACTTCCCCCATGCAACAGTTCTCCTTAGTACATGAGCTCCTGTTGTCTTTGAGCCTTGATGTTTATTTCAAAACAAGACCCATCTCATTTCTTGCCTTGTGATCGGACTCCCCCACAAAATGAGACTGCTGTTATCAAATGGGGCTTTGCTGAAACTTTACTGTGGGGAATTCAGCACCTCATAGACTCATAGACTTTAAGGTCAGAAGGGACCATTATGATCATCTAGTCTGACCCCCTGCACAGTGCAGGCCACAAAATCTCACCCACCCCTCCTAGAATAATCCTCTCACCTATATCTCAGATATTGAAGCCTTCAAATACTTTGAAGACCCCAAGATGCAGAGAATCCTCTAGCTGTGATCTGTGCCCCATGCTACAGAGGAAGGCGAAAAACCTCCAGGGCCTCTGCCAATCTACCCTGGAGGAAAATTCCTTCCCAACCCCAAATATGGCGATCAGCTAAACCCTGAGCATGTGGGCAAGACTCATCAGCCAGACACCTAGAAAGTTCTCTATAGTAACTCCTATCATCCCTCCATTGACCTATTTCCCACTGATAATGAATGGTCAATTAGTTACCAAGATCATGTTATCTCATCAAACCATCCCCTTCATAAACCCATCTAGTTTAATCTTGAAACCAGATAGATCTTTTGCCCCCACTACTTCCCTTGGAAGGCCGTTCCAGAACCTCACACCTCTAATGGTTAGAAACCTTCGTCTAATCTCAAGTCTAAACTTCCTACTAGCCAGCTTATATCCATTTGTTCTTGTGTCCACATTGGTATTAAACTTAAATAATTCCTCTCCCTCCCTGGTATTTATCCCTCTAATATATTTAAAAAGTGCAATCATGTCCCCCCTCAGCCTTCTTTTGGTTAAAGTAAACAAGCCAAGCTCCTTGAGTCTCCTTTCATAAGACAGGTTTTCCATTCCTTGGATCATCCTAGTGGCCCTTCTTTGTACCTGTTCCAGTTTGAATTCATCCTTCTTAAACATGGGAGACCAGAACTGCACACAGTATTCCAAATGGGGTCTCACCAATGCCTTGTATAATGGCACTAACACCTAAATTATTCTACAAAAGAAGCCTGCAAATCCTCAGAGTTACTTACTGCTGGTCCAGGTGGTCCTGCAGGTCCTAAAGTGCCCTATAGAATTAGAAACATGAAAATGTGGGTTAATGGGCCAGGCTCCTTCACATAAGTAAAAGGGGGCTTTCCAACCCATCATTCATTCCATCCAGAACGCACCAGATTGTGGGATCTCTTCCTCTGGGGAAGTTAAGTAGCATCTTAAAGAAGCACCACACACACAGAAAAGCAAGAGTAAAAGACCTGTTGCCATGTCAGATTAGTTAGCTGATTCAAGGACATTCTTGATGTTCAAGACCGAGCCTCCAGGAACTTTTCTCCTACTGTCTGAGGCATGTCTACACTAGGAAACTATTTTGAAATAACCCAAATCATTTTAATAACTCCCAAAATAACAATCGAAATAGCATGTCCACACTATGGGGAAGCCTCAGAATTAGTCTGTGGCAGGCTCCTTTAATGTGGATGCACTACCTTGACTTAGAGCTCCAGGAAGCACTGGCGAGTAATTAGTTCAAATTACGCTGGAGAGTAGTTATTTCAAAATAGCAGCACTGGAGCATCCATACTACCACTGTTTCAAAGTAACTATTTTGAAATTAGCATTATTCCTCAAGGAAAGCAGGAGTACAGATTTTGAAATAAGCAGCCCATTACTTCGAAATAACGGGCTTGGTAGTGTGGTCGCTCTGCTTATATATTCGATCTAAGGGGGGTTATATTGAAATAAAGCCCTAGTGTAGACCAGGGCTGAGAAATCTCTGAGCCCCATTTAAAACATTCGACTTTCAAGTTAGGCTTAATATGGAGATCCACAATACACAGGCCACCGATTAGTCATTGGGAATCTTTAACGTTTGCCACAGATATAGTGAATCTCACTGGCTCCCATTTGAACCGTCCCGTTTCATGACTACTTCATGCCATAGACCCAAAGGCTGTTCACGGGCCTGGGACCCAGCCGTACTTTCTTTTATTAGTTCACACATTTTCCATTCAAGCAAAGATGCTCGGATGTGACGACTTGTCCATTTTTGCCAGCTCTTCTGGTGCCATTTCCCCCTCGGTTTTGCATTCCAAGTCTTGTGCCGGATTTTACAGACTTACATTTTACTCTAAAATCAAATCACTGACTCAGAGTCTCTAAGTTCCTGCTTCATTAAAGATAATCCGAACGACAGATGCGTCTTTTTAATCCCTTTGCTGTGTTCTAAAAGGGCCGGTGCTGGAAAGTGCCTATCAAATTAATCACCACTGAAAGCTCTGAAGCAGACTAAATGGAAATGGAAAAATGAATGAACACAATGTGATTCTTCTACGATTGAACACAATGACCAGCAGAATGACAGGCCTCCTGTAACTTAATCTCTCCCCTGTTGCCATGTGAAGTTACAGGAAAGATTTGGGCTTATTCACACTGGTGTGGAGGACAAGCGCATTCTCCTCTATTCGAAGCAACTGTGACTAATGGTGGGTGCTGAATCTGGAAAAATGAATGAACACAATGTGATTCTTCTACGATTGAACACAATGACCAGCAGAATGACAGGCCTCCTGTAACTTAATCTCTCCCCTGTTGCCATGTGAAGTTACAGGAAAGATTTGGGCTTATTCACACTGGTGTGGAGGACAAGCGCATTCTCCTCTATTCGAAGCAACTGTGACTAATGGTGGGTGCTGAATC